CCCGACCACTGGAATGGAGCACCCTTCTGAGTCAACTTGGTCAACGGTGATGCAATAGATGAAAGTCCCTGAATAAACCGACGGTATTAACCCGCCAAACCAAGAAAGCTGCGAATCTCTGTGGCTGAGGACATCCTGGGCCAACTCTGAACCGCCTCTATCTTCTTTGAACCAACTTGAATACCCTCACTGGACACCATATGCCCCAAGAAAGCCACTGAACTTAGCCAGAACTCACACTTGGAGAACATTGCATAAAGCTTATCCTCTCTCAACTGCTCCAATACCACTCTCAAATGCTCCGCGTGCTCCTCCTGACTACACGAATACACCAGAATATCATCAATGAAAACTATGACAAATGAGTCGGGATACGGTCGGAACACGCTGTTTATCAAATGCATGAACGCTGCTGGGGCATTGGTCAGCCCAAAACACATCACAAGGAACTCATAGTGACCATATCGTGTCCTGAAAGCTATCTTAAGAATATCCGAGTCCCTCATCTTCAGCTGGTGATACCCAGAACGGAGATCAATCTTGGAGAACATCCTCACTCCCTGAAGCTGGTCGAACAAATCATCAATGCGAGGCAGGGGATACTTGTTCTCAATTGTAACCTTGTTCAACTACCAGTAATCAATGCACATCCACATAGTGTCATCCTTCTTTTTCACGAATAGAACAGGCGCACTCCACGGAGAAATACTAGGCCGAATCAACCCCTTATCGAGGAGTTCCTGAAGCTACTACTTCAACACCGCTGGTGCCATACGATACGGTGGAATAGAAATGGGCTGAGTGCCCGGCACCAGGTCCTACCAAAATCAATATCCATGTCTGGTGCCATGCCTGGCAGTTCTGCAGGAAACACAGGGAAAATCCCTCACAACTGGAATATAATCAATGCTGGGAGTCTCTGCACTGACATCCCTCACAAATGCTAGGTATGAAAGACAACCTTTCCCAACCATCCGCTGGGCCTTCAGAAATGATATCACCCTACTGGGAACAAAATCAGTCGAACCTTGCCACTCAATCTGTGGCACACCGGTATAGCCAACGTTATTGTCTTAAAGTGACAATCCAGAATAACACGGCACGGGGATTACCAACCCTGCCCAAAATCACATCGAAATCCACCATACAGAGTAACAAAAGATTCACTTGGGTCTCCAGACCCCCAATGGTCACCACACACGATCGAAACACATGGTCCACAACAATAGTATCGCCCACCAAAGTAGATACATGAACAGATGAAACAAGAGACTCATGGGGCGTACCCAAATAACGGGCAAAATATGATGACACATATGAAAAAGTGGAACCAGGATCAAATAATACAGAGGCATCTCTGCGGCACACTGAGACAATACCTGTAATCACAGCATCCGAAGCAATAGCATGTGGTCTGGCAGGGAGTGCATAGAAACGGGCCTGACCACCACCTGATCGACCTCCTCTTTTGGGGCGACCTCTAGCTGACTGGCCCCCACCCCTAGCTGCCCGAGTGGGTGTGAAGTAACTGGAGCTTAAGTCGAGGGCTGACTCCTCTGTTGGGATGGACCCTCAAGAAGATGAGGACACTGCCTGCTCATGTATCCGAAACTCTCCACACTCATAACAACTCCCTGGCGTGGGGAACGGGGACTGACAGGAACCCCTGGCACCGAAATGACCAGTAAAAGGACCTGGCATGAAGGAGCCTTGAACTGATGGAGCACGGGCCAAACTCTGGGCTAGTAGGGCGCTGAGTGATGAATGGCCCTGATGAGAACCGTGAGAACCATGGCCCGAAGATGCACCTCAATGAACTGGTGAGCTGACTGAGCATGTCTGAATGGACGGCCTCTACCGTGCTGACACTGACCTCTCGAAGGAGCACCACCAAAACTACCAGACCCTCGAGGCCTCTTGGCCTCCCTCTCATCTCGCTCCTGGTGAGGAACTAACTCAATATCGCGAGCTATATCAACAACCTCCTTGAAAGTAGCACCTGACACCCTCTCCCTGGCCATGAGAATCTGAAGCCGAAATGTGAGGCCATCAACAAACCTCTTAATCCTCTCTCTATCAGTAGGAACCAACCAAACAGCATGACGAGCTAACTCCGAGAACCTCTTCTCATACTGTGTCACAGTCATATCTCCCTGACACAACTACTCGAACTCCCTGCTCAGCTCCTCTCTGCGAGACTGTGGCACATACTTCTTCAAAAAGAGAATGGAGAACTGCTGCCAGGTAAGGGGCGCTGCATCAACAGGCCTACGCCTCTCATAAGTCTCCCACCAAGTGAAGGAAGCTCCAGAAAACTAAAAAGTAGTAAATGCGACCCCACTGGTCTCCAGAATACCCGCGGTGCGAATAATCCTATGACACTTGTCCAAGAAGCCCTGGGGATCCTCGCTGTTGATACCCAATTTTTCCCTATATTTTTAAATATGCAAAAATACCTTCGGAATAGCATATATATGCATATATAAGCATGCCCAAGGTTTTATTATTTTTCCCATAATTGTAAAGGTTTAAATTGATTTATTTTCTCCCTTTTTATCCATAAAATCCGCAATAATTATTTCCAAATTATTGTTTTGATGATTCATCTATTGGATTTCTATATTTATGCCAAAATATGGCTAAGGTAATTTTTATATATTTTTTCAATTACATTTAGTATTTTTAAAGCTAAATTACACATAATTGCAATGATAGCCCTTTTAAGATATAATTATGTTTATATGCATAAAATTGGATCCTGTATTTCAAATTGCTAATTATGTATCCTAAATCATTTTAGCATTCTAAATTATTTTTTCCAGAAATTATCTACTATTTTTTATAAATTAAATAGTGAAAAACTGGCTATTTAAATTATAGCCAAATTGGCTTTCAATTATAGCCAAATCAGGACCCCAATTCACATCCCAATTTTACAATTAAAACCCGACCCACACCCTATTAACCATACCCAAACCCGAAACCCAACCTACCCTCTTTAATCTCGACCGTTGATCTCCCAGATCAACGGTCCACGTTATTTCTTTCCTTTTTTAATCCAACGACCCGCTAAACCCTACCCCATTCTCTCATTTGCACCGCCCTTGAATCCCTTCCTCTCCAAATTCTCTCTGAGACCTAATTCAAACCCTAATCGCCGTCACCAGCGTGAACCCCTCCTACGATGCTTCTACGTCTTGTTAGCTTCAAGGTTTCACGTATTAATTTTGATGATAGCAAACCAACATAATTATTAATCAAAGAACACTTACTTGTGTTAATCTTATTTCTGCACAGGTTTATTCATAAAAGAAGATGATGGTAAAGATCGAGACAAATACGGGAAAGAGAATATCATGTGAAGATTTTATCAAGGAAGATTATTTTCAGAGAGTTAATCTACAAGCATCATAGAAGGAATAATATTTGAAAGTCAAGTTTCAAATATTGGATGGCTTACGACAATATTGGAAGAAGACTCTATGGAAATTATGGAAGGAAAGGTTTTCAAGGAAAGTTGCTAAAATTATGGAGAAGATCTATTATTTTATAGAAGAAAGATTTTACAAGGCCAAGGAAGAATATATTTTCTATGGAAAGAAAATATATTATGGTGTAGTAAAATCTATATTATGGAAAGAGATTATTTTCCAAGAATATATTTTCTATGGAAAAAAAATATATTATGGTGTAGTAAAATTTATATTATGGAAAGATATTATTTTTCAAGATCAAGAAAGGAATATTTTCAATATAATGAGAGAAGAATATATTTTCTATGGAAAGAAAATATATTATGGGTATAGTATATTCTATATTATGGAAAGAGATTATTTTTCAAGAAAGGAGTCAAAGATATCATAAGCTGCTTTGAATTTGCAATGAATAAAAGAGTCCAAATTCTTGAAGAAGCTATTTATGGAATGCAAAACTAAATCATTCCATAAAAGATGCAACGACAAAGATATAAAAGGAAGAAGTGGATCCTATTGGCAAGAATATTTGTACCGAATATTTCATGGATTGGCAGAAGAAGTTGTTCGACAGTGACTATAAAGAATTATGATATCCGGAATGAAAGCCACAGACAAAAATCAATCACAGAGGATATTTGAGGAAAGAAATAAAAAATACTTTATGGGCATTGGAGTTTGAGGTTTAAATGGCACCTTTTAATTGGAAAACATATTTTGACAGAAGATATAGTGATACGGTATTATCACATTGGAAGATATTCAAGTCCACTTTTAGGAGACATGTCAGCAATAACAAGGATTCTAAAAGAATACATGACAAGATTCAACAAAATCATGCAACGGTACTAAGGAAACTCTCTTGGGTTATGCAATAGCCAGAAGATGTGGAAAGGCTATGAAAAGGAGATCTACAAAGGAAGAAAATACGCAGCTTTCTATACAAATTGTCTATCCAACTACAAGTTCTTTATTCTACTCTTAACAAGCATTGTAATTCACTTTAGTAGATTTACTGTATACACAAAAGAGAAAAGAGAGAGAAAAATTAGAAAGGCAGTGTGTTCGGAGAGGTGAGCGAGTGAAAACCAAAGGGTCGTTGTTGGTGAGCGAGTGAAAACCAACCCTGTAAACATTGGTGGTGAACGTTGAAAATCACACACGCTGTACTCAACACAAATTACAAAGAGCTCAAGAGATAACATCCTTGCAACCCAAGGAGACTGGATTAGGATACCACATTGGTTCCGTACCAGTATTAAATTCCTGGTGTCATTTTCTTTATCGCTCTTATACTATATTCTGTTCCTTTACTGTTTATTGTGATTAACACTTGTTTAAATAGAATGGACTAACAGTTCTATGCAGGCTGTCTCCGCATAAGTCGACTAGGTCTGAAGAGTAGTCGACAAGAAATTTAAAAAGGCTAGAATTAACCCCTACCCCCCCCCCCCCCCGTGTACTTTCAATTGGTATCAGAGCAGGTCTCACATTTTTATTTTGCCTGACAGCAAGTGAGAAAAGATTATGTCAGCACACACAGTTATCGGAGCCTTACTCCAAGAGGGAACTTCTGCATTAAGACCACCATACTTCAACGGACAATATTACACTCACTTGAAAGTTCGAATGGAAGCTTTCATCAAATCTTATGATGTCAAAGTATGGCGAGTCATCAAGAAGGGTGACTTTCCTCTCCTACAGTCCAAACCAGAAAAGAAACCAGAAAGACAGGTATCTACTAAAACCCTTGATATTGATGATTATACTGATGAGCATATGGCAATCGTGCAGATAAATTCAAAGTCAAAAAATCTATTATACACTGCTATAAGCGGAGAAGAATTTGAGAAAATATTAAGTTGTGGCACAGCCAAAGAAATGTGGGATAAACTTGAAGTTACCTATGAAGGTACCAGTAAAGTAAAAGAGACAAGGATAAACCGTCTAATTCGTGATTATGAGTTGTTTCAAATGAAAGAAGATGAATCCATTGAAGACATGTTTGGCCGATTTAGAAAAATAGTTGGAGATCTAAAATCCTTTGGAAGACCATATTCAAGTGGTGAACAAATCAGAAAGATTCTAAGAAGTTTACCCATTGTATGGCAACCAGAAGTTGTTGCTCTTGAATACGGAGATCTCGACAAACTATCATATGATGAACTTCGTGGAGACCTTATAGCTTTTGAGCAAACCCATCTCAAAAAGCATGAACATGAAGAGAAGAAAAAGAGTGTTGCTTCTAAATCAACTATTGTTGAGTCTGAAAGAGAAGCCGAAGAAAAAGGAGACAGACATCAAAATGATATTGCATTATTTTCTAGAGTTGTCTCTAACACGACGCGAAGAAGCAAGAAAAATGAAAGAGTCAAATCAAGTTCCAGAAAAGGTAATGAAATAAGTGAGCAGAAAAACAATGATAGAAAATGCTACAAATGCGAAAATTATGGTCACATCCAAGCTAACTGTCCAGAACTAAAAAGGAAACTATCTAAGGGCAATCGAAAGAGAAAATCTTCCAGCATATGGAGTGATGAATATATGCCAGATAAAAATCATAGTGGAGCTGCCAACCTTTGTTTCATGGCACGAAGTGAGACAAGTGAGAAAAAAAATCTTTTGGTGCCTGGAGTGATGAAGATATATCAGACAACAATCATGAGGAATCTACAAGCAATCGTAGAACAGGCTTTAGAAGATATGAGAAAAATTCTTGATGAGCTCGTGAAGACTAAACGGGAGAAGAAAAACTTGGAGAACCAACTTGAAGAATATAACAAGTTGAAAAAGGAAAAGGAATAGTGGGATATTCTACTCGAAGAGTATCAGGTTGAAAATGACTTACTTCAAGAAGAAAATGCAGAACTTCTCAAACAAATGAATAGTTTGCAAATATCTTCCCGTCACCATTTTGATTGGCCGAACAAGCAAGCTCATTTTCTTAATAACTTCAAGTTGACTGACAAGGGATCTACTAGTAAACGCCCTACTTCGAACAAGTCGACTCAGGAAAGCTTCAAGTCGACTAAGGCACCTGCTGGTAAATACTCTACTTCTTTTGTTACATGTCACTACTGTGGTAATTTTGGACATAAGGCATTTGCATGTAATTATGCCAAAAATCATGTTAGATCAAAATTTATTTGGAGACCTAAACAGTTACATGTATCTCTAATTATACAAGCTGCTAATCATGAAGGACCCAAAAAGATTTGGGTACCAAAAACAAACTAATTTATTTTGCAGGAATTTCTAAGTCCAGCCATAGAAAGGATTAATGATGTTTGCATATTGGCTAGTCGAGGAACATACTTCAAAGTTCCTATATGTTCACAGAGGATGAAGGAAATACGACGTATGATCTAAAAGAGTGACTGATATCACTAAGGTTTATTCAAGTTCTTCCCGTTGCATTAGGTGATACATATTCAGCTATTGGTTTAGTAAAGTATAGCGTAGTATATGCATATTAGTCATCTATATACACTTCGAGTCCACTAGCTACATCACATTGTTATTCTATTTGGTACAATTTTTATCCATGACTTAGAGACTTTAAATAGCTTGAATACATGTCTTGCATAAACCATGTCATTTGCATAAGATATTAGGACAAGCAAGCATGCGATTATATTGATATCATACGAACTTGAATCATGCCTATATGCGTCTTAGTTTATTCTTGAAATGAATTAATTGTGTAATAGTACTTTCTTGGTAAGAATACTAATACCTCACTCAAGACCAAGAAAGTTATTTAACTTTGAGGCCACTTCTGCACATGAAACATTTTGGGCAATATTCAAAAGCTTGAAGATGAAAGGTATGTATCTCTATTATTAGCTTTTATTGGGTTATGTTCTGGATCTATATTAGAGGACACCTTATGTGAGATATAGAAGAAAGAAAAATCAAGTGTTGATTATTTCTATCTTTTTTGTTGCAAATGCTTACCAAAAGCTTGGAAGGTACATATATATGTTTCTACTGATGATTATCCTTACTTTTGCATAGATCATGTTTTTTAATAAAAAAAATAACGCTTTTGCTGTGATCGTCAATGTGAGTTTTAATAGTATTTGTTTGACATTTTCTTGCAACAAGCATGATCTTTCACATTTCAGTTTGGCGCCTGAATTCAATGCAGACTTGAAAAGAAAGCATCAGTTTTGCATAAATTGTCATTATTAGCTTATATGTGCTTTAATATTTACATTAGATCTTATCTTGAATGAAATTCTGTCTAAAGCTATGGGAAGGAAGAAAAATCAATTTTTTGGTTATCTTATTTCCGTTGGTTGCAACTGTCTTGGTAAGACTCTTGGCATATTTCTTATTCATTAGTTGTAAAAAAATCTCATTATGCGCATTTCTCTTTACACTAATATTTTTCTAAGCAATTTGTGAATAAGGATGGAGAATTACAGTGGATAGCTTGAAATAAATTGCTAGTGACACATCTATACTAGTTGAACTAGACAGTCATGAAGAAGCATTAAACGAAGAATGCTAGATTCTAGCAATACAAGATTTGTTAAGCGAAGCTGAAAGAATCTACAGTATGGAAATCCAGTACCAAGCAGATAGGCTGCAATCATAGATATCTAAAGCCTGATAAGATTGGTAAGGTTGTGAGAATTATGTGTAAACTTGTAGCTCAAGGTTTCACAATAAGAATGTCTGTTTTTTCCATGAAAGTTTTGTTAGAATATCATTTTTCATGTGGTTATTACAAAGTTTGCAAAGTGTTTGTATGGATGTTGAAATATTTTTTTAAATGGGTTGAAAACTGCATAACATTATTCTCTAGCCTCTCTCTGGAATTGAAAGTTCTTTTTGAATCACATTCGTGTGACTAAGACTAGTTACCATTTGAACTAGATTCATATTTATCTTGTGGCAATTATTCTTTCCAAAGTTATTTTTACAAGAGCATATTTTTTATACTAACCAAAAGCATATCAAGCAATTTTTAAGCTTCTGGAAGATGATCGGGTTGGAAATGAGTATAATGAAGAATTTACCTTTATCTTCACATTCCATAATGCAAAGCAAGGAGAAAATTAGTAAGTCCAACGATCGAATAAAGTACCAAGGTATGACCGGCTCTCTATTGCATTTTTATGATAAATATTTAGGTATACCTGATCCCATATTATCTCTTTATAGTGCCACAAAAGATCATTGGTTGATTCTAAATTATGGTTTATTATATGCAAGAACTAATTGCTTTGATCTAGTAGGATCTTTTCAGATGCAAATCTTGCAGGAAACAAAGTGGACTGAAATAAAAAAAATGGCGTGGAGATTTTTTAATTCTCATGCGAAAGACAAACTAGAGCACAAGGCAAAACATGTGTCATTAGATTTCTTGTGACAGGAAGTATTTTGGAAATATGTCTGGAGGACATTGACCATCATCTTGCAGATATTTCCTCACATTTACGAAAGAAGGTGGTATGAAAATGATATCCTAGTGTATCCTTTTTCCTAAAATGATTCGTTATCTTGTTATCTTTTTTATGTTTATTATTTGTGTGATTTCAAGTCTATGATAGCATGTCTACAGTTCGATTCTATTAGAATTATTTTTAATAGATTCAAAATTGTGTCGTCCTACTCTATGCTTTTAGAAGACTAATAATTTTCTTCAAATATTTGAAATTATTTTTGGTTGACCTAAAATAAACTACAATTTCTCATGTTTCGTATGGTCAGCAATGATTTGATTAGTCAAAGTTTTTCTAACGGAATCAAATATTTGGTATTGATTGCTTAGTGTTTATTATACATGTCGATGGTTTTACTGGATGATGGATTGTGCACTTATCTAATTGAGAGATTCTTGGAATATAGATTTTTTTGTTTAAATAAATTGAGTGTATGCTTTATTATTGGTTTTAGTAATTTATATTCTATTCCACCCTTTTGATGATGACAAAAGGGGGAGAAAATAATGTGTCCAAAAGCTCGAAAATTCAGGTAGAATGTATGGAGACAGGGGGAGCATAACTGAGGAATGCATAGAGTGAGGGGGAGTTCACACTTGATGTACTACATACATTTCGAGAAGATGATGTTAGGGAAGTAACCAACTTATCTAGCTTATCCCATTACTGCCTTTAATTAAGTCTTTGATTAAATTTTCTTATTTTGTACTCAATAGTTTGCCATCATCAAAAAGGGGGAGATTGTTAGCTTCAAGGTTTCACGTATAAATTTTGATGATAACAAACCAACATAATTATTAATCAAAGAACACTTACTTGTGGTAATCTTATTTCTCCACAGGTTTATTCATAAAAAAAGATGATGGTAAAGATCGAGACAAATACGGGAAAGAGAATATCATGTGAAGATTTTATCAAGAAAGATTATTTTCAGAGAGTTAATCTCCAAGCATCATAGAAGGAATAATATTTGAAAGTCAAGTTTCAAATATTGGATGGCTTACGACAATATTGGAAGAAGACTCTATGGAAATTATGGAAGGAAAGGTTTTCAAGGAAAGTTGCTAAAATTATGGAGAAGATCTATTATTTTAAAGAAGAAAGATTTTACAAGGCCAAGGAAGAATATATTTTCTATGAAAAGAAAATATATTATGGTGTAGTAAAATCTATATTATGGAAAGAGTCACGACCCAGTTCCCATACCCGGTCGTGATGGCGCCTCTCATGAAGACAAGGCCAACCAACTAACCCAAATCCTTTCACTAACAATTATTAAACATAAATGAATAGAAGATACAACTTAATGGCATTAGAAACTGTTAATTACTACCCGACCGGGGTGTCACAAGTCACGAGCATCTAAGGAAACCTTAACACAACTACAGGCCAATAAATATATACAAGTAAAACTTCTGGAAAACAAAAGACAACATCCGGTGCCGCGAACGCTGGCGGTCACCTTGCTCAGCTACATTAGTATTACCTTCAGTCCGCTAATCACCCGCTACCGGGTGAGCAATACCTGCAACTGCACGCGAGGTGCAGGGAGTAAAGTGAGTACTTCCAACTCAATGGTAATAAGAGTAAATAATAACTGAGAGACAAGAAATCACGTAAGAGCACTCCATCATGCTATATAGGACAGTACAACCCTTTGAGAAAAACAGTAAAACCGTGAAAAAAATCCTTTAGAAAATATCTGGCTCAGTTTAAAAACCTCTTTTGAAAATATCCTTTTCCAACAGTCAAGCAAATGAATGCGTAATCAGATAGTGCAAGTCTGCACATAAGTCAGTCCCTCGGGCACAGCACTCCACTAACAATTAACACCAGGGTATCTGGTAAACAGTGCAAGAAGTAGCATGGATGCCAATGATATGAGAGTGCTGAAATGTCATGTCACGTAGTACAAACAGGAACCAATGCATGAATGCAATGCAATGCACATGACCGCTGCGGCGCGCAGCCCGATCCATTTGGGTACCCGCGCTCACTGTGGGGGTTCAGACTCCGGAGGGGCTCCTACAGCCCAAGCGCAATATCATCATAGTATCGCTGCGGCATGCAGCCCGATCCATCCTCAGTCCAGAACATGCAAATGAGCCACTCGGGCAATGTCAAGTAATAGCTTTTAACTCAAAACATCAGAAAAATGCAATTTAAGTCTTTAAACTTTAACAACATGACTGCACATTTCAAAACAGGGTTTAACTCAGGATTGAAATCATTTAATATGCTAAGTGTCATGAAAACAGTGACAATAATCCCTAAAGGATTTAAATAATCGGCACGAAGCCCAAAACATGGCAATCAGCCCAAATCACGATAGCATCAAGCAGGTTTTAGTCA